CAGCACCGCACCCCATCACACCAGGGAGGGCCCCACTCACCCAGCGGGAAGCTGATCTGGTCACACATGCCTAGCAGCTGTCCAAAGTACACCTGGTGGTCAGCGGGATGCAGGCACAGCTCCTCCATCCTATGCAAGCGGAGCCAGGAGCTGAGGGCCAGCTCCAGGACACTGTCCCCGGTGCAGGGGTACAGGGCTCCTGACCCTCCAGCCTTTCCTGCCCCAGCCCTGGTCCCAGGATGCTGTCACTGCCATCTGCACGGGGCCCCCATCCAAGCCCCAGGGCATGAGGACCACATCCAGCCTGCTTTGTGGGGCTGGGGGCTGGAGAGCGTGGGAGAAGGCCCGGGGTGCAGGTGTGCACCTGCCGCAGCCTGGTCAGCGTCCTGTGGGAACCACTAGGAGGCACCTGATGCAGGTCACGGGTAGAGGACTCCGGGTGGCAGGAATGGCCTGAGGAGGAGCCCCGGGGGAAGGCGTGCCAGACCCACGTAGAGAGCTTGGCCTCTGCATCTGCATGAGTCCCCTCCATGCTGGCCTGGGCCCATGGGCCCTGCTGGGTCCTTGTGGAGTCAGGGTTGGGGGTGTCCAGGTCTGCGCAGGGCCTGGCCTCCAGGAACAGATGATGCTGGAAGCCAGAGTCGGGGGTGAGACTTCTCTGACCCTGTCTGAGCCACTCCCTCTTTGCTGCCCAGAGCTGACCCTGTGTGAGTGCAAGGGCTGTCAGCTGCAGAACAGTGGTTTATTGACCAGGCAGGGCCTCCCCAGCCCGGCCTCTGCTCCCCGAGGGGCTCGGGCTGTGTGGGCTGGCCCTGGCAGAAGGTGGACAATCCTCTAGGCCCAAGGACATGGGGGTCACAGAGGTAGGGGCCTTGGGCCCACACATCCAGGGAGAGTTCCCTGCAGCTATCCCAGGCAGGTAGCAGGTTCGGCCCACACCTGAGTGCCCAGACCCTGGGCAGGGCTGGGAGGCACCTGACCCCACCTCCAGCAGCTCTGCAAGTGTGGAGTGAAAAAAGGTGAGTCTTATGTGAGGATGGGGTTGGTTACAACTGTGGTGACGGCCTGGGGTGGGCACGGGGGGGCCTGGAGGCCGAGGGTGGGCTGGCGGGTGCTAGGCAGGGCGACGGAAGAGGTTGCCAGTTCGGAGCCGCCGCAAGAGCTCCAGCCACAGCAGCTGCCGCTCCCGACGGGCGCCCTTCATGAGGCTGCTGTTCTCCAGGGCGCGGCGGGACAAGTAGGGCAGCACCTCCATCACGGGGCCGTAGGGCACGTACTTGTACACGGGGTAGCCGGCCTGGCCTGCAAGGGGGCAGATATGCCATGAGATCCAGGCCCAGCACCGCACCCCATCACACCAGGGAGGGCCCCACTCACCCAGCGGGAAGCTGATCTGGTCACACATGCCTAGCAGCTGTCCAAAGTACACCTGATGGTCAGCAGGATGCAGGCACAGCTCCTCCATCCTATGCAAGTGGAGCCAGGAGCTGAGGGCCAGTTCCAGGACACTTCCCCGGTACAGGGGTACAGGTCTCCTGTCCCAGCTCTGAGCCCGTCCTACTACCCCAGGTTCCCCATCTACACTCTCCAGACTTCATCCCCTGCAAGGTGGGGCTGGGGTATGGGCTCTGCCCGGCCCTGCCCCAGTGAGGTCTCTTCTCAGCAGGACTCTGCTGGGCTGCCCTACTCTTCTCCCTGGGGAGGCGTCAGCCCTTAGCCAACAAGATCCTCCTCCTGCTTTCCCCACCCTCCCCTCTGCCACCTCTCCTCTACCTCCCTTCTTGGAGGTGCAGCCCTTCCTGGGGCCCTGACCCACCCAGCAGCCTGCCCCACAGGGCAGGGAAGCTCCTCGGCTCTCCTGCCATCCCTTCCTCAAGCCCCTCCAGGGTTCTGCGGTATGACTGGTCTCTGGCCCTGCCCTGGCCCTCTGTGGGCTGCTCCTCTGCCCCATCCCCACAGCTGCTCTGTCCCACACAGCTGCCACCAGCCCCCGAGTCCTCGGAAGGCGGCTGCCCTGAACCGAGATGTGCTGCACATGTCACATACACACGGGATTTAGGAGACTTTGTAGAAACATAATACTCAATGACGCGTTGCTTTTCTAAAAGCAGCTGGAATACGATTTGAAGTAATATTTTGTATATTTTGGGTTAATTAAAATGTATTCTTGAAATTCATTTTATCTTTTTTAATGTAGCTACTAAAAAATTTTACAGATGTGGCTTGCATTATATATCTGTTAGCACTGCTCAGATATTGGGGTGGGGCCCTCAACTCTGTCCTGTCTTCACACCACCCCTGACAGGGTCTTACAAAGATTCTCAGGGTTTGAAATATCCATGCAGTGACAGTTCTCACGTTTCATCTCCAGCTTCCTATATCCAGGTATCCTGACTTAGCCGGTCTGCACAGCACTGGGGCCCCCACCCTGGGCTGAGTTCCGCCCGCTCCTCACACATCACCTGGGTGACTGGCAGGGCCTGTGCTGTGCTTCCCACTCCCTCCCCGAGGGCCTCCCCTCCCCTGTTCTCTCCCCGCCCCAGCCCTGGCTCCCAGAGTACCCATCAGCCAGAGGCCCTTTCCCTCCATCCCTGGGCTGGGCTCCAGTGTCGGGACCACCCAGTCTAAAGCAGGCACCCGTCTCTGCCACATCGCCCTGGTCTCCATCGTGTGTCTCCCTCAACCCCAGGACAAGAACCCGAGAGCCGGGCTGCCATTGCTGGCTGCCCCCTCCCCTGTGGTGTGCACGGCCTCTGCCATGTGACTGCAGCTCCCCCCAGCGCCGGGCAGCAGCTCACTCCGCCTGGCATCTGGGCTTGGCCTCATGAGGCATTTTGGCCAACAGGGAGGTACCAAAGGTGACACAAGCAGAGGCTTGCCCTCTCCAGGCCTTCTGGAAGCCTGAGCCCACCACATGCCCAAGCCTGGGCTGGCCTGTGGGACACTGGACCTGGGTACAGCCTCCTTTACTGCCCCAGCCATGAATGAACTCATTAGGCCCCACCGGCCCCAGATCACAGATGCAGGAGGGACACAGGCACGGCCAGCGGCAGAAGCATCAGCTGAGCCAGCCCGCCCAGTCCTACAGAACATGCCACTGTTTCAGCCTCTAAGTTTGGGGCTGGTTGGCTCCTCGGCCAAAGCCAATTCGGGTTGTTTGAGGGTGGGTGGTGTGGCAGTCTGGGCCCGGCATAGGACAGAGCAGCTGCCATAGTCTAGAAGCACTTACTCAGGGGAGGGGGCCCCAGTTCCCCAGAGCTCCCCAGCCACCCACGGCAGGGGCACAGAGCTGAAGCCTGCAGGGGTCCAGCCTCAGGCAGGGTTGTGAGCATGGTATTGGGGGAACCTGGCACACAGCCCTTGGGGCCATGAGGAGCGAGCCCAGCTGCCACTCAGGGGAGGGGGAAGCTGTGTCCAGTGGGGAAGCCACCGCCACAGCAAGACAGTAGGGACAGACAGGTGTGAGGGGGAAGCTGGAGAGAGGAAGCCCTGCTGAGGGCAGGCTGTCCTTTTGGAGTTGGATGGTGATGTGTCTAGTCAGGCTGTGAGCCCACCAGCATTGAGAGTCCACCCAGAGGCCGGGAGTCCTGATTACAAGCTGAGAGGACCCACCAGCTCCCGAGTGCTGGCTCCTGCTGGCCGCCAGGCCTGTGCGTGTGGAGACAGTGAGTCTGTCCCATCTATGACAATTAGCAGAGGGTCAGGGCACAAAAGCGGGTGTGCTGCGATTTCAGGCCATGAAAAAGCAGCAGCATCGTGAACAAAGGCCGAATGTGGACATAAGTGAATGATTTCAGAGCCGTGAGTCAGCTCCCCGAGCAGCACCAGGATGTGTCCTGTTGGCTGCAGCCCTGGCCCCAAGCCTGGCCCTGTGGCTTCACAGCTCCTTGGGGAGCCCCCTCGTGCCACAAGCCCTGGATCTGGAACACCCTGCCCTGCTGTGGAGTGGAACCTCTGCTCAGCTCCTAGGAAGGTGAGAGCCAGCGAGGCCACTGCCCAGGCCCCCGAGGGTTCTAGGGGTCCCATCCCTGGGAAGGCGGAATCTGGGAGGGGAGGGGGACCTAGGACCCCATTGTGTGCATAGCTTGGGCTAAGGCATGAGATAAAACCGGGGTGACAGTACTGGAATATCCAAGAACTGACTTCACCTAACTGCTGCATTTGACTTGTTAGAATTCTACCAAAGTTGTGCTCCATGGGACACATGTTTAAAGGGAAAACAGACTGTTACATTCCAGATGTAGTTAAAATGTTAAGGGAACTGCTTATAAATGAGGCGGCGCTGTGGAGGCCTCCTGAGGGACTGGGCTCCAGCACTGCATTTGTACCTTTCAGGAGCCTTCCGAATCCCCTAATGAAACTTAGGTTTTTAATTGTGAAGTTTAATAAGTCAGATGTTAATTTTTAAAAGGCTGGTTATAGTGGCTCAGCCTGTAATTGCAGCACTTTGAGAGGCCAAGAAGGGAGAACCACTTGAGGCCAAGAGTTTGAGACAAGTCTGGTCAACATGGTGAAACCCTGTCTCTGCTAAAAATACAAAAAATTAGCCAGGCATGGTGGTGCACACCTGTAATCCCAGCCACTTGGGAGGCTGAGGCATGAGGAATTGCTTGAACTTGGGAGGTGGAGGTTGCAGTGAGCTGAGACCATGCCACTGCACTCCAGCCGAGGTGACAGAGCGAGATTCTATCTTAAAAAAAAAAAAAAAATGTTAATTTTAAAAACCAACGTAACTGCAAAGAGCCTTTGTGCTCACAGTCCGATGTCCAGAATGCCAGCAGACCTGGGCCTGCAGGGCACTGAAGCTGCCCTCCAGCTCATTTCACCAACCTTTCCCCACAACCGCCCGCCTGCACCCAGCAGGTTGCTCTGCCCACCCTGAGCTCTGCGCTGCTGCCACCTCTCCCCAACCAGAGGAGCCAACGGCTTGGGTGGGGTGACGATGCAGGGTGGGGCGCACCTACCTGCGCAGCGTGAAGCGCACTGTGTCCTCGTTGTGGGAGGCCACCATCACCTTGGCCTTGGTGTTGTGCTTCAGCTCCTCCAGCACGTAGTCCAGGCACCTGTGGAGAGTGCCACGTGAGCCCAGTTCCAGCCTGTGGTCGCCTGCGCCTCTCATTACCAGCTGCACAGAGAGGCGGCTGAGGGCAGGCCCAGGGCCATCCAGTGAGCTGGCTCTTTCCAAGGGTGTCCACAGGATCCCACAGGATCAGGAGGAACAGGAGCAGCATCTCCCCCTCCCAGCACCTCATGAAAAAGAAAGACCAGCAACCAAGAAGAAGTTAGCGATGTCTGGGACCAGACAATTCATGCAGAACCAGCTGGGGTGCAGCGTCCCTGTATCGAACGTGCCGCGACACTGGGGACCAGCCCAAACATGGCCGTGAGCCTCATGATAGACACAGCTTTGCTTCTGGGGAGGGATCCTACAGTGCCCCCCGGCCCTGCAAGGAAATAAAAGGGAAGCAGGTCCCTATAGGGCACAGTGGGGGTGGGCATCCCAGTGCACCAGGAAGCCCGAGCAGTACCACCCTCCTGCAGCGAGGACACAGCAGGCTTGACCACGCACACATTCTCTCTGACCAGCAATTCCATTTCCAGGAACCTAGGACAGCTGCATCCTCAGACACAAAACCCCTGATGGCCCGTGTGTACCATAGAGGGTGACGGTGTGTCCAGCGAGTCCCTGTTACAATAAGCAGACTGAAACCAGTAAGATCAAAGATGCTGGACACACAGTCCCGGGCACCCCATCCCGGCTGGTAACAGCGCCACTCTGCAAGCCCACACAAGGGGACCCAGATGGAACGCGAAATGAAAAGCACATTGGGCAGAGAACACACTACAACGCAAACAACAATGGCGGAGATGTGTGCGCTGCGGCACGATGGGCACGTCGGTTGCAGGAGGGGAGCTGCAGGCAACCAGGAGACACCTGGGGTCTCTGAATTTGCAGCACACACGCCTCTGAGAGGAAAAGCTCATGGTTGGCCAACCTGTGCTACATGAAAAGATCACCAGGAAACTAGAGCAGTAAAAGCAGGTGCAGAACAGCTGATGGGCGATCCCACTGTGTGAACTGAAAAGCAAACAGGCTGAGCCTGCGGGGCGGGGAGGGCCGGGTGCTCGTGCACATCTCTGGATCTAAGTGTCTGCAGGAGCCGGCTCAGGGAACTGTGGCCTATTTTGCTTTGTTCAATGGGCTTTTCTATATTTGTAAAAGAATAACCTTAATGTTTTTGAAAAAGCAACACATGACACAAAAGCAGAGGAAATACCAGTTCTGACCTGGGGACACACGAGGCTGCCACTCCTGCTGGGGTCTTCTGGCCCCAGCAGGGTGGGACAGGGTCAGTCTCCAAGCCTCTCCCTCAGGCCCAGTTTCTTGGCGCCCTGCCCTGGGAAGATGGAGGC